GAACCATAGTTGCAAAACTTGAGAGACAAAGCAACAAAAGTGAGTGGGCCTGGAATATGCAGTAGAAGTGGGAAAGAGGCCAGGCGGGAGCCCAGCAGAGCACGCGAACGGTTCTGGACTTGGAGAGCAACAGGAAACCACCCGAAGGGGCTTACATGGAAGACAGACAGGAGCACATCTGGGGTTTGAGACATCACCCTGGCTGCAGAGGGGCATGCAGAGAGGACGAGGGGAGACCCAGGAGGAAGCTGCGCTGTCTGCGAGCAGAAGCGGTGCTGGCGGGACCATGCAGGTGGCGGTGGGGATGGTGAGAAATGGAGGGGCCCGAGAGACAGAAGGAGGTAGAATCGCCAGGGGAGGGGAAGGGACGAGTCCCGGGCTCCCTTCCTGGACCACTGGGCACATGATCGGTTCACTGACTGGGGTAGGAACGTTGGCTGGGAAGAAAGTGATGTGCTTTGATTAGGACACGTTGAGTTTGAGGCCTTGGTGGGACACATGAGCTAGGGTATCCAGGAGGCAGGCAGGAGAGATCAGGCATGGAGACTGGAAGGCACAGGTCGTGGCTGGGTAGGGGTGTCTAGAGGGGTGCGCAGGGCCTGGTGGCCCAGAACTGAAAAGAGGAGGCTGAGAAGGAATGGCCGCCACCAACAGAACAGCCTGACCAGTCGTGTGGCTTTCCACTGCCTGCAGCACTGAGTATCCTGGGATGCCCCTGGGAAGGTATCCAGGGCAACAGAAGGGACTGGGGAGCTGGCCCATTCTGTCTCTACCCGGAGGCAAACTCCTCTACCCTAGATCCATTCCCAGCAGAGCAAGGAAAGCCCTCCCCGCTCCCAAACATCTCCCCTGTGGAAAATGGCCTTGGCTCAACAAAGCGCAGGAACAGAGCTCAGTCGAGTGGTGCTGTGGAGGGTGGGAGCCTCCAGGAGGCCCCAATGGAAGGCACGGGGGCTGCCCCACTGGGTGCAAGTCACAGGGGTCCGCCTCATCCCGCTCCCAGTGCTGCCTGTTCCCCATGGGGGTCCACAGGATTCTGTGCACCTGTGATGGGGGCCCCTGTTGCCCTTCTCAGGCTCAGGACCACCAGAGTTGCTGTTCACCTCCCCACACTGCCTCTTCCTCCCGCTTCTGGAACAGGTGTTGAACGACAGGTGCATGATGCAGGAGGGTCATAGCAAAGCAGTACCAGAAACAGGCTGAAGGCTCCTGTAACCCACTCAGAGGATTGAATCCTTATGAGAGTGACCCAGCATGGGCAGATGGTCCTGCTGTCCCTGCTGCATGGCCCAGTGAGAATCCTACACTGAAAGGGGATGGGGGATGGCACAGTCAGAGGCACTGGGCTCCATTGCTGGGGAGTAGGGGACAGAGGGTAAAAGTGCCCAGTCTCATCAGTTAGGGGAAACAGCAGAGGTCCTCTTTCCTCATTTAAAAAATTGTTTATTTAGGGGCCCGCTCTGGTGCTGCAAGTTAAGCCATGGCCAGCAGTGCCAGCATCCCATATGGGCATCCATTCAGGTCCTGACTGCTCCACTTTTTTTTTTTTTTAGAGGATTTATTTATTTGAAAGGCAGAGTTAGAGAGAGAGAGAGAGAGAGAGAGAGAGGTCTTCCATCCACTGGTTCACTCCCCAAATGGCAGCAATGGCTGGAGCTGGGCCAATCAGGAGCCAGGAGCTTCTTCCAGGTCTCCCACGCGGGTGCAGGGACCCAAGGACTTGGGCCATCTTCCACTGCTTTCCCAGGCCATAGCAGAGAGCTGGATTGGAAGTGAAGCAGCTGGGACTCGAACTGGAACCCATATGGGATGCCGGCACTACAGGCAGCGGCTTTAACAGCTATGCCACAGTGCCGGCGCCTGCTCCATTTCTGATGCAGCTCCCTGGTGGTGTGCCCTGGCAAATCAGCAAAGGACAGCTGGGGTGCTTGGACCCCTGAACCTACGTAGGAGACGTGGAGGGAGCTCTTGGCTCCTGGCTTTGGCCTGGCCCAGCCCTGGCTGTTTCGGCCGCTTGGGGAGTAAAACAGCAGATGGAAAGTCTCTTTCCACCCCCACCCTGTAACTCTGCCTTTCAAGTAAATAGAAAGAAATTGCCGTGGGCACCACAGGTTGCTACATGACCCTGGGCAAGTCTCCAAGACAGATTCCTCAGCTGGGGACTGAGCAGGGGCACTCACGTCTACCCCCCTGCAGCATGGGAGCTCTAGTACTCCTAGCTCTCTCCATGTAGGCTGGAGGCTTGGAGAGAGGCACCAGCTTCCACATGGTTTTGGGGCCTGCAGCCTAGTACACGGCCAGGCACACAGAACACTTCACAGCCGCGCTTCTCAACCATCAGCCGATGAACTTGGATGGGGAAAAAATTATGTTTCAATTTCCAATAGCCTCTTTACTGAATGTTAGCGTTTTCTTCCACTGGGATTGTAGTCGACAAACCACAGGAGCATTAGCAGCACCTGTCCCCACAGCAACCACAGGTGTTTTCCTGCTAGAGTTGTTGCCGACTGCTCCAGCCGTGATTTGTAGGCACCACCAGTTTGACATTACACTCATTAGACCTGCTGCAGGTCTCCTTAAGGTGACGACCTAGAAGCACGTTTTCACTCCATCAAACATCTGGGTTTGGGGACTGTTTGTCATTGTGGCTGAGAGGGGTTGAAATATGGAACTGTTAGTGCAAGTCCTGGCTCCTGTGCTTCTGATCCAGCTCCTTCCTAATGTACCCGGGAGGTGGCAGGTGATGGTTCAAGTACTTGAGTTCCTGCCATCCACGTGGGAAACCTGGATGGAATTCCTGGCTCCTGGCTTCAGCCTGGCCCAGAGAGAGATCTTCCATTCATTCACTCATTCCCCAAATGCCCACAACAGTCAGGACTAGGCCAGGCTGAAGCCAGGAGCTTCTCCCGGGTCTCGCATGTGGGTGCAGGGGCCCAAGCACTTGAGCCACTTCTGCGGCTTTTCCAGGTACAATTAGCAGGGAGCTGGACTGGAAGTGGAGCAGCAGGGACTCAAACAGGCACCCAAATGGGACGCTGTTACTGCAGGCTATGGCTTAACCTGCTGTGCCTTAGCACCAGCCCCAGTAAACATATTTTCAAAAAAATTTGTTCATTGCATTTAAAATGGTCTTTCATTTGTATTTCTAAGTATTTTATAAGTTTAAAAACATTACTTTGCATAGGAGTTCATGGGCTTCACCAAACTACCAAAAGGGTCCAGGGTAGGTTAGGGTTAGCAGAAATGGGCACACACTTCAAAAAGTTCATGAAAAATGGAATTAAGATAACTTAATTTTGGTGCAAAAAAAAGTTGAAGTGCAGGTATAGTTTTTTCCTAACATGGAATTTCTGTAAACTTTGTTTTTCATTTATTTGAAAGGCAGAGTGACAGAGAGAGAGGTTTTTTTCATCCGCTGTTCACTCCCCAGATACCCACAAAAGCTAAGGATAGGCCAGGTGGAAGCCAGGAGCCTGGAGCTCAATTCAGGTCTCCCACATGGGTAGACACAAGTACTTGAGTTAGCACCTGCTACATGTTCAGGTGCATTAGGGGTATACATCAGCAGGAAGCTGGAATCAGAAGCTGGGACTCGAAGCCAGGCACTCTGATATGGCATGCAGGCATGTATTGTTTTAACTGTTGCGCCAAATGCTCGCCCTCCCAAGAACTTTTTGAAGAATTCTCAGATACGCTGCCATAACTCTCCCTGGGTACTGAGTTAACCCTGTGATCAGGAAGGGGCTCTGGGCCACCTGTTCCCAAAGCAAACAAATGCATCCGCTGTGTGCAAAGCACTGGGTCAAGGGAAGCCCCAGGCGCACACAGTCAGCTGTTGCAGGCCTACTTCATCCAATGGGCTGAGAGCTGGGCCTAATCTCACAGCCCCTGGGAAAAGTGGCTTTGAGCCACCTCGGTCTGCCACCCCAGCTACAGCCAGCTGGACCAGGGATCTCATTCATGTCTGGCTGGTGGCCTGGGAAGCAGCAGGCAGGATAGCTTGTCAAATCTGTGCTTTCGGATCAAAGGGTAACTAATGGACCCAAGTAGATTCTCTCTCTTGGGGAGTTTGAATTTGAACACAAGGGGGAGTCAGCAGTTGGGAGGTCAGCGGAGGTGACAGACACAAAGAAAGAGGTGGAGCCAAGGGCGGGGACTTGCCAAGTTAGGTGGCCTTGCAACACCTCTCTCCCAGAGGCTGCCTGGCCCTGTGCCCTTGCGCTTCTGCTAGCTACCTCACCTAGCCAAGCCCACCCAGACCCTGCCCCAAGAGTTCACAGAATTGTGAGGGTCAAGGGTCGCCAGCTGCACAGGGCTCACAGCAGAATGACAGACATGCTAGCGGCCCAAAATAAGGGAACTGGGGGTGCTTTCTCCCCAGTGTGACCTTCTCCTGGCCTGTGAATAGTCCTCTGGACCTGTGTCCTGCACCAGAGCCTTGCTAATTCCCATGTAGTGTAGCTTCCTTCCCAAGGACTCCCTAACTGCTCACAAAGCAGCCAGCGCCCATGTGGCCCTGGGCAGGGAGGGGAGACACAAGTGGGACAGGGAGGTCGCGCACACACACCCGTGAGTGAGGCTGCTTGGGGTAGGCTCCTCCGAGCTGGCTTCTCCTCTCCCTCAGAGGGTGGGGGGACCTACGCCACTCCCTTCCTTTGCAGAATCCCCAAGACGCCTTCTTTGCTCAGAAACACACTCAGATTTCAACCGCACTCGTAACTCCTTTACTCCTAACACCATGTTAGAGGTGAGCAATTCAGGCTCAGAGAGAAGTCTGAAACTTGCCACAAGAAATGAGCGCCAGGCTCCGTAGCAAACTCCACAAAAACCCTGCCCCACTGCCCCACTCACAGCTGCTGCCGCCCATCCCCACCCAAATGGACACACTGGCTGCCTCCAAATCACCTCGCTCATTCCCCATGTCTTTGCTCCTGACGTCCCCCTGGCTAGAATACCCTGGCGGGATGCCCAGGTGAATTATCTGAGTCAACCTTTAAGACTTTCTTTTTTTTTTTTATTTTTTTTATTTTTTTTATTTTTGACAGGCAGAGTGGACAGTGAGAGAGAGACAGAGAGGGAAAGGTCTTCCTTTGCCGTTGGTTCACCCTCCAATGGCCGCCGCTGCAGCCGGCGCACCGCGCTGATCCGATGGCAGGAGCCAGGATCCAGGTGCTTTTCCTGGTCTCCCATGGGGTGCAGGGCCCAAGCACCTGGGCCATCCTCCACTGCACTCCCTGGCCATAGCAGAGAGCTGGCCTGGAAGAGGGGCAACCGGGACAGAATCCGGCGCCCCAACCGGGACTAGAACCCGGTGTGCCGGCGCCGCAAGGTGGAGGATTAGCCTATTGAGCCACGGCGCCGGCTCAACCTTTAAGACTTGAAAGGCAGTCCACTCTTCCATGAACATCCTCAGTGAGGCGGGAGCCGCGTCCTAACTGCCTGAACTTCCCAAAAGTTCATGGAAAATGCAGTTAAAAGACGTTTATTTAGGTGCAAAAAAAATTTTTTTTTCAAAATCCATATAGGAAAGGGGTCTTCAAAAAGTTCATGCAACATGTGTATTATGAAAAAAAAACATGCATGGATCTCAAAACTGTTTTGCAAACAATTTTTAAATTCCATTTCTCAAGAACTTTTGAAGCCCCCTTATCCGTGTCTTGTCCCCATTACACTAATTAAGAGTGCAAAGCTCTGGCAGCCCCCTCCCCCTCCCAGTGAGTCCTGCCCAGCCCTGGGAAGTCGGCGACATCCAGGACCCCTGAGGGCACGAGTGGCCTCCTGGGTTCCAGCCACTGGCTGTAAAGGGTTTATTCAGTCAACAATAAGCCTGTTATGCTCCAAACACTGGGCCAGGTGCTGGGGATCAAACATGAATGGGGGCATTAACTGGGATGATCAAGTTGATTTTAAACCCTCGAAAAATCTGTAAGAAAAACAACAGACAGCTTAACCCGCGCTTCCGCCCAGGTGTGTGGGGGCGGAGGGGGCTGGCTTGCTACCTCTCCCCTCGCCCCCACCTCCTGCGTGTTCCCAAGGTGAAGATTTGAGGAGGATTAGATCTGTAATCTCTGGATTGGGTATCGCTTTCAGGAAGGCGTGAGACCTACATCTTAACTGGGACGCACACCTGCACCTATTATTCCCATCAGCGGATGCGGGAATTGGCGCTCTGATTGGCAGCCCGTCCGCCATCCAGGGGCGAACTCAAGCCCCCCGCCCCGGAAGCGGGTCGGTTACATCAGCGCAACCGCCCCGAGGGAGGGTCTCGGGCGACCTTTCCGGAAGGGGCGACCCCTTTAAAAAATACCAGGCTAGTCCCAAGCCCAGATTCCAGCCCCAAACCAGACCCGCCGTTCCGCCCCGCGCCCTGCGAGGACCGTGGATTCTGGGAGCCGCACTCTGGGCTCCGCCCCCAAGGCGCGGGCGCCCATTGGCCAGCGCGGCCGCTGGGCGGGGCCAAGTCTTAAAGGGTCCGAGCCCTGAACGAGACCGGGAGTGGCCGTGACGGCCGGGAAAGCCGGGGGCTTGATGCCACGTGGGCCCATATGGGTTCTTTTTCAGCCTCTCTAATGCCCTTTCCCTAGCCACAGGCCCATGGAGCCCACGAGGGACTATCCACTGTTCGGGGGCGCCTTTTCCGCCATCCTCCCCCCAGGGGCCATTGATGTGAGGTGAGAAGGCCCAGGGGCCCAAGGAGGCTGACCTGGCGGGTGGCGGGAAGAAGCTGGGATAAACTACAGGGTCTGCCTCGCTCCTCTCTAGCGACCTCCGACCGGTCCCGGACAATCAAGAAGTCTTCTGCCATCCCGTGACCGACCAGAGCCTGATCGTGGAACTTCTCGAGCTCCAGGCCCACGTGCGCGGCGAAGCGGCTGCGCGGTGAGAAAGGGGCCCGCGGCTGGCCAATGAGGAGGCCGGAACCGAGGAAGTGGGCGGGGCCTTGGCTGGACGGTTATTCTGGGCCACAGGGCAAGACCAAGTCGCCGGAAGTGAGCAAAGCCCAGGACTTGGGGGGGTGGTGGTGGTGTGTGTGCGTGTTTGCGCGCGCGTGCACCTCTCCCACGCCGTGCTGGTGATGGGGGGGCGGTGAGGTGAGGGCAGTGGGAGATGCCCCTCCCTGACCCTGCTGCCCCGCCCCAGGTACCACTTTGAGGACGTTGGCGGGGTACAGGGGGCTAGGGCCCAGCAAGTAGACTCTGTGCAGACCCTCAGTTCGGAGAGCCTGGCCCTGCGCACCTACTGTCCAGAAGCCTGGGTGCTCTCAGGCAAGCAGCAGGTGGCTAAGGAAAACCAGCAGGTGAGGACCGGGGAGTGTGCCGTGTCCTGGAAGGGTGAGCGGGGTGGCCCTAGACATCCAGGTAAGCAGTCTGTCTCCCATCCGCTCAGGTAGCAAAGAATGTGACGGTGCACCAGGCCTTGCTGCGGCTGCCCCAGTACCAGACTGACCTCCTGCTCACCTTCAATCAGCCCCCGTAAGGAGGAAGCAAAGGGCGGGTGCCTCGTGATTGGGTCCCCAGGAGAATTAAGCTGGGTGGTGCAGAGCAGGGAGATTTGCTGCCAGGGCCCTCCAAGGAGAGGATTGGGGGGGGGGTCACAGCTCCCCGGATCTTCCAGGGAGTTGGAAGTGGGAACTTGCACGCCTCAGGCTCAGATGATGTTCCCTGTCTGTCCCCTCCCCCCAAGCCCTGACAATAGGTCATCTCTTGGCCCTGGAAATCTGTCACCTCCACCCTGGAGCCTGGGTGACTTTGAACAGCTGGTGACCAGCCTGAACCTTCACGATCCCAACATCTTTGGGCCGCAGTAACGATGTTGGGGGCACTGTGTGAGGCTGCTGAGGACCTGGGGACCCCGTTCTGGGAGGCATAGGAAACGAGGCTGAATATCTGGGTTTCCTCCTCTTCCTTCCCTGTGTGTGAACACAAGACACCTCCTCTCTGCAGAAATAAACTTGCTTTATAACCAATATAATCTCTGTGGTTTTGAAGTGAACAGGACACCTGGGTCCCCCCAATTCCCTTTGGTCTTGGAGGGGGGAGTTTAAAGCTGAGCAGAGGAGCAGGAGGAACCCAAGGCTGGCAGTGGAAAGGAAGAGACGCACTTTGGAGTGACCGTTCGGCCCTGAGACGGGGGTGTCAAGTGTTCAGGGGGACGGGGAGGGAAGGTGTGAAGCAACAAGGTGGGGGCTGTCCCTAGGAGTAGTGGTGATTGAACCCTGAGAGAACAGACGGGGAGCGGGGCTGGCTGTCCCCCTGCGGACAGATGAAAGGTCACCTGGTCACAGGCGTGGAAGCAGAAGTGTCCAAGGAGTGCCGCTTGGTGGAGTGTGGGAGAGGGCTGTCACTTAGCGTACGTGTGGTAGAGGGAGCGCAGCTGGTCCCAGAAGAAGAGGGAGAGGATGGTGTGGGGGCCAAGGCGGAAGTAGGAGGCACCTATACCCTTGTACATGCCAAAAATGCCCTCTGTCTGAGCTGTCTGCAGCAGAGCGTCCAGGATCCCCCGGTACATGAGGCCCTGGAGCATGTGGGAGAGGGAGGGAGAGCACAGGAGAGGAGCTCGTCAGAGCCCACCAGGGGCCTCCCTTTGCAGGCTGCATTTGAGAGCTGTCCCACCAGCACCCACAACTTCCCCTGCGTGGCCTTCCCCTTCCGGAGCACTCTCTTACCTTGCCGTGGGCATCTGTGGGCTGGTTGTAGAGCCTCGTGCAGGCCACGTCGAAGGGTGTCATGGCCAGGACCACTGCGATGCCACTCACCATGGCAGCTGCCAGAGCCACCTTCCAACTCTGGGGAGGAAAGATCTGGGCGAGGGTTGGGGGGAGCTTTGTCAGTCAGCCATTGAGCCCCTGGGTCAGGCCAGGCCCTCCCTGCTAACTCAGGTTGCTTCCATTCCAACAGTGACAACACAGTGTGACAACACTGGGAAGGAGGAAGGCCGGTGAGCCCTGCCCAAGGGTGGCGGTGGGGCTCCGGGACCCCTCTGGGAGGCAGTAACAAGAGAAGCAAGGACAGAGTCTAAAGAGTCAATGCCGCCATCCCCAAGTCCTCCTACTGCTCCCTCACACATGAGTGTTAGCACCACCCCCTCGAGGGCCCACCTCAGTCGCCCACCCATTCCCAGGACAGCCCCACCCCTTTCCCAGCCAGTACCTCCCACTGGCTCATGAGGTCCTTGGTGGATGAGAAGGTGCACAGCTGGGTGGAAGAGCCGACGACAACTCGGGGCAGGCCGCCCAGGGCCCCACGCCACAACCCCACCAGGCCATGTTTCTGGCCAATCTCCGTTAGTGCCTGAAACATGCCCTGGTGGGGGCGAAGAGCACGGGGGTGGGGTTCAGTCACCCAGCGTCAGGGGCTGCCACCTCCTAGCACTGTCACGGGTGGGTCCTTAGCACGCATCTGCTATCTAGACAGCCAGCTCAGTGCCGGCCCTCAGTTGTCACCCCGGAGGAAGCAGCGAGGACAGGAGCAGGCCAGGAGAATGGGGCAGGAGAAACAGGTGCAGAGGGCTAGAGGGACTGGGGCACACGTTGGAGGGAGGGTCTGGGTGAACTCCAGGGGTGCAGCGGGACTGCACTGATGGACAGGGTAGTGGCTGGCACTGGAGCTGCAGGGCACAGGCAGAAAACTGGGGGGAATGAGAGCGGCTGCTTGGGCCATCAGTGGGACCGGGGACCCCTCACCTGGTGCTTGTACTGGTGACCCACAGCGATTTCAGAGGCTGCCTGTGCTTGCAGATGCGTCTTCACCTGGGAGCAGGAGAGCAGCCCAGTCTGTGTCCAGCGACCACCCTCCCCCTTCCAGACCAAGAGGCCTGACCCCTCGCACATCCTCCGGGGTGTTCAGCAATGAATACCCTTCTCATCTGAAAGTATTGTTCCCACTTAACAAGCTGGTCATGAGACATTGCGTCCCTTGGCTCCAGTCCCTGTGGACAGATCTCCTAGCACTGCAAGACACATCACCCCCCTCCACATCCTCCGTCCCTTGGGGCTGGGGTGGGGTTGGCGAGGTTGAGGAATGGCAGTATTTCCTAAGACCATCCAACGTTAGGCAAGACCCAGGTGCCCGGCCTCTCATGCTGGCTCCCATTCCCAGACCAGATCTCCAGCCCCTACCTTGTCACAGGGTTCCCCCCTGCCAGACTTTGGCCTAAACTTGCTCTCTGACACCCCCACAACCTGTAGGGGCGTGTGCCCTGTGGACTTTGGAGAGGCCACTGTCCCTGAGTCACACCGTGGGAGTGAGACCAGGCTGCCTCTTCTTATACAGAAGCTCTTGTTTGCTCGTAGGAGCAGTAAGCAGAGCCTCCCCCTAGCAAAAGGCGGCTGTGTGACCTTGAACTGGTCACTCTCCCTCTCTGGGTCTCAGGCTCCTGACCCACTTCACCTGTATCAGATAACTCAAAGGAGCACACTGTGGCATTGTAGTTCTGCGATGCCCACACTGGCTGATGTATGGGACTCAAATTCTTCCTCCTCCCCTCCACAACCCCAGCCTCAACAGCAAGTGATAGTGATAAAACAATAGCAGCCCCCAGATCGAATGTGCCCAGGTGTGTGTTACCGCTGGGTTCCATGGTCTCTGCTAACCTCCCCAGTGGTCCCACAGCACCCATCCCTAGTCACAGCGGCTCCAAGAGCACTAAGATCATTCCCCTTTTACAGATGCGGCAACCGAAGCCCAACAATTATGATTTTCAGAAAGGGCGACTCCAAAGCCGGTACCCAGCATGGATACATTCGACTGTGTACATTGGGTCAACGTGGAGAGGGCGGATCAGAAAACACCATGCCTGCCAGCACACTCCACACACCTTGCAGAGGGCAGCTCCATGCCACCCCGGACCCCGAGAAGGCCAGCGCTCCCACCCGACACCGGCGGTCTGCCTGAAGCCCCCTTCTTACCATGTAGATGGGACTCCCCAGATAGGCGCCCATGACCCCAGCCAGGGCCCCAGCTGCTGCGCTGCGCGGAGGACTGAGTGCGCCTTCCGCCGTGTGCAGGTAGCCCCTAGCCTCCGCCAGCCCGTAGGTGCCCAGTCGGATGCCATTCATCAGGAACTGGTACAGGAGGGCAGGGGCCAGGCCTTTCTGCAGCGCAGCCAGCCCGTCCACCTTGCCAATGGTGAAGAAGGCGTGGAAGACGTTTCGGTAGTGCCGCTTGTAGGTGCCGGGGGCCTGCAGTTCTCCTTGGAGCTGCATCCTGGTCTTCACCACCTCCAGGGGATTGGTGAACACACAGGCCCCACAGGCTGCCAGACCACTCATCAGGAAGTCCATGGCACTGGCGGGTAGGGCAGCAGTAGCCTCAGAAAGAGAGGTGCGAAGGTAAGGCAAGACCCGGGTGCCTGCCGTCTAGGCTGCGGGAGTGGGAACTGAGAGGTCCCGGAATCTAGTCAGGGTCAAATGTCAAGGCGTCAAGGGTTGGCTGGAATTCAGCAGTTAGCAGCTGGCAAAAGGGGGAGAAAGACGAGTTTGGGAGAAGCCTGGCGAGACGTTATGATAGGGCCCTGATGGCCAGGGGATGTAAGGTTAAAGAGCAGCAGAAGCAGGGAGGTGGCAGGTGGGATGCTAGGGACGGCAGGCTCCCCGGGGCCGCGGGAGCAGAGGAGGCGAACGCGGGATAGGGAGGTGGGAACCGGGGAAAGCAGGGGAAAGCAAACAAGCCGGAGAAAAAGGACTCGGGAGAAGATCCGGCGGCGTCCCCGGGACAGGAACGAGCGCTGGATCGGGGAGCAAGAGTCCGGACTCCGGCCCGGGATGAGGTCCCTAGACGGCCACCGGAGCCCGGGAGCACCTTCACCTGGGGCAGCCTGCGGAGGCCGGGCCGCCACACTCCAGTCCCTGGAGCGCGGCGCCAATGGGGAGCCCCGGAGGGCCGCTGCCTAGAGCCACAGCCAATCAGCGGCGAGCCGGCTCCTCGGCCAATGGGAGGCGCTCTCGGCGGCCCGGCCCCCAGAACCCGCCTGCGGCTGTTGGATTTAACTCTTCCGGGCCCCGACGCCAGGGAGGGGCGGAGGCTCGCTGGTGGGGAGGCAGGGTTGGGTCCCGGGTCCCCTGGGTCTAGAGGTTGAACGCGGAAGCAGTGGCCCTCCTCTGGGGTTTCTAGGGCTCTGGGTGTGGCGAGGGATCGCCTCGGGCGTCCGGAGAACCAGGGGACCCGGGAAGCTGCAGCCCCGCCCGCGGGGGAGAGGGACACACCTGCTGCGCCCGACCTATCTCAGGGTCGCTAGGTTCTAGCCCCAGGGTGTGTCTGACTCTGGGCGCGGTGTGCGAGCTTGGTGAAATCCTCCAGCTTTTTAGATCCTCCCTGCGACGTGGAGGAGGAGGAGAAGGCAGGGCAGGCCACAAGGATTTTACTCTTTCTCTAGCGAGGCCAGGGTTACAGAAAGTTAATGGGAGATTCTGGGATTCTGGACTCTTGGTCCTTGCTCACAAATTGAATAATGGTTAAACAGCGAAGAACGTCTGAGAATAGAGCCTGGGGAAGCTAGCAGGGCAGGGCTGGAGAGGGCAGGCACGGGCAGGCAGGGGGTGCCGCCGGGGGTGGGGGAGGAGGCAGAGGGGTGGCTCCTGGAGGAGGCAGCCCCAGACTGGGAGCAACCTTTGGATCTTCCTTGCTCACCAGCTGAGTGACCTCGGGCAAGTTACTTCAGGTCTCAGAGCCACTTTGCAAAGTGACAGCGGGACTATCTATTACACATCTCTGAGAGAACGTGTTGGACTTGTACTAGGTGCTTGGTAAGCAGGTTTTTGGAACGTTGAGAGCTGGGCCCCGTGTATCCTGCTCTCATGGCCTGGAATGGCCCCGCCAGCATCTTAAACCCCGAAAATCCTCTCTGGACCCAGGAAACTTTCCAGAGTCCCCACTTCCAGCCACTCCCATCTTGCTTGTTCCTCAAACATTTACTCACTTTTTTCTCCTTTTGGTTATGAATTGTTTGTTTCCTAATGTCTTCACTGGACTGGGAGTTCCTGAGGGACCCAGTCAGAGTCTCAGCTGTCTCACCTACGTACTGCTAAGCTGTTGGACGTGAGATGAGGCAGGAGGAGGTGTATACCTCCTGTATTTATAACCTGTATTTATTTATTTATTTATTTATTTGACAGGCAGAGTGGATAGTGAGAGAGAGAGACAGAGAGAAAGGTCTTCCTTTTTGCCGTTGGTTCACCCTCCAATGGCCACCGCCGCTGGCGCACTGCTGCCGGCGCATCGCGCTGATCCGAAGGCAGGAGCCAGGTGCTTCTCCTGGTCTCCCATGGGGTGCAGGGCCCAAGCACTTGGGCCATCCTCCACTGCACTCCTTGGCCACAGCAGAGAGCTGGCCTGGAAGAGGGGCAACCGGGACAGAATCCGGCGCCCCGACCAGGACTAGAACCCGGTGTGCCGGGGAGGATTAGCCTAGTGAGCCACGGCGCCGGCCTATAACCTGTATTTATAACCAATGTCCCACCACTATGACAAACACCCAGCAGACACTCCCCATGAAGGAAGGTTTATTTTGGCTGGTGGTTTGGAGGTTCACGGCCCAAGATTTGGTGGCCTCATTGTCTGGCATCTGATGAGGGTGGTGGATGGGGGAACACCAGGCAAAGGAGGGATAGGATCGTAGGGTGAGACCTGGAGCAGAGAGACAGAGTATCTGTCTGTGTTTCCTCTCCGTATAAAGTCTCCATGAGGCTGGTGCCACGGCTCACTAGGCTAATCCTCCGCTTTGCGGCACTGGCACACCGGGTTCTAGTCCGGGTGGGGGCGCCGGATTCTGTCCCGGTTGCCCTTCTTCCAGGCCAGCTCTCTGTTGTGCCCAGGGAGTGCAGTGGAGGATGGCCCAAGTGCTTGGGCCCTGCACCCCATGGGAGACCAGGAGAAGTACCTGGCTCCTGCCATCGGATCAGCGCGGTGCGCCGGCCGCAGCACGCCAGCCACAGCGGCCATTGGAGGGTGAACCAATGGCAAAAGGAAGACCTTTCTCGCTGTTTTTTTCTTTTTCTCTCATTCTCCCTGTAAAAAAAAAAAAAAAAAAAAAAAAAAAAAAGTCTCCATGACTTGCTCATGGAAGTGCTACTCTAGCAACCCAATCCAATTCAATCATTTCCCAGAAGCCCCCTCCCCCCCCCATAACTGGACGAGGCCTCCATCCCATGATGTTGGAACATGGACATCTGTGGGAGTTAAGGAGCCAGACTGTGTTCAAACTACAGCAGACGCTATGATCATATCCATTTCCTCTACATACAATTTCCCTGATTATTAATCTTACGTTAGGATGATACCTTGTTGTAATTAATGGGCCAACATGGATACATCATTAACTGAAGTCCATACTGGATTCAGATTTTTTCTGTTCCAGGATACCAACTGACACTGAACTGCCTCACCTCCTTAGGCACCTCTTGGCTGTGACAGTTTCCAGACTTAGCTCGTGTTTGATAAGCTCGACGGTTGTGAAAAGTCCTGGTGAATTATTTTGTAAGCTCTCACAGTTAGTCTGTAAAGTTGCAGTTTTGCACACAACTGGACTGGGTGACAGGTTTGGGGCCATGTTCATTGCATCACACTAATGGTGGTACTAGGGACACACTGTTGAGTGCTGCTTGTCACTGTTGATATTCCCCGCCTGCCCACAGTGACGTTGATCAGTTTTTTTCCATTGTAAGGTTACTCCTCTTTCCCTAGGGAGGAAGTCCATGTGCACAGCCCGCACTGAAGGAGGAGGGAGTTGTACTTCTCCTCCTGGAAGGCGAACTCTACGTAAATTGTTTGGAATTCTTCTATATGGGATGTTTGTCTCTCCTCCCAATAGATTCATCTATTCAGCCACTTACTTATATTAGTATGGACTTACGGATATTCACTTTACATTTTGGGTTGTAATTGAATGCATGGGGGTGAGCATTGTGGTGCAGCGGGTTAAGTCACCATCTGGGACACCAGCATCCCCTATCAGAGTGCCTGGCTCGAGTCCCAGCTATTCTGGTTCTGATCCAGCTTCCTGCTGATGTGCAACCTGGGAAGCAGCTGCAGATGACGGCTTGGGGACGTGGGTCTCTGTCACCCATGTGGGAGACCCAGATGGCGCTGCGGGCTCCCGGCTTCCGCCTGATCCAGCCCTGACTATTTGGGCATTTGGGGACTGAAGCAGCAGACAGAAGTATCTCTCATGCATGTGCTTGCTCTTGCTGTCTCTCTCATTCGCACTCTCACTCTTGCTCTTTCTGCCTTTCAAATAAACAAATATTTTAAAAATAATCAATGCACTTAATTTTGTTGCTCAAATTGTTATAGCTTTGGTCTTTGGAAGCTCTTTCAGTTGGCTCCTGGGCCTCCTTGGCTTACTCCCATTAAAGGTTTCTTTCTTTTCTTTTTTTCATAAAAAATCTTTCTTTTTTGTGCATCTGCTGCCCCATTCCTCTGATCAGCTATTTCCTTTTATTGGAGAATGGTTTTGGAAACAAGGCTGTGGGCACAGGTGTGCTTGTTGCTGTCACAGTGTCATTGTTGCTGTCACGGTGTCACTGCTTGTTGCTGTTGGGGTGTCGTTGTTGCTGATGGGGTGTCGTTGTTGTCATGGTGTTACTGCTTGTTGCTGTCATGGTGTCATTGCTTCTCGATTCTCACAGCTGGAAGAGCAAGGAAATACATGTGTGTGTAGTCACTCATGTCTACATAAAAATGTCACTTTTTCTCTGTGTAACCACGTGTATGCCGCACTACACATGAATTCATGTTGCTGTCAGGTCTCTAATCCATCAGCACGTGGGTCGTTCTAGCCACAGTGAGACAGTGAGAGAGAGAGAGACAGGTCTTCCTTCTGTTGGTTCACCCCTCAAATGGAGCCAGGTGCTTCCTCCTGGTCTCCCACGCAGGTGCAGGGCCCAAGCACTTGGGCCATCCTCCACTGCCTTCCTGTGCCACAGCAGAGAGCTGGACTGGAAGAGGAGCAACCAGGACAGAATCCGGCACCCCAACTGGGACTAGAACCCGGTGTGGCGGCGCCGCAGGTGGAGGATTAGCCTATTGAGCCGTGGCACTGGCCCATAATTTTCATCACATCTTTTCATAACTTGATTTGAAATGCACAAAGTGAGCAAGAGAGAGAGAGGGCTCATGTGCTGGTTCACTCCCCAAATGCCTGCCACGGAGGAGGCTGGGCCAGGCTGAAGCCAGGAGCCAGGAGCTCCATCCAGATCTCCCATGTCGGGGGCAGGAACCCAAGTACTTGGACCGTCACCAGTTGCCCTCCAGGCACGTTAGCAGGAAGCTGAATTGGAAGTGCAGAGTAGCCAGCACACCAAACAGGTACTCCACTCTGGGATTGCTGGCGTCCCAGAAGGTGGCTTAACCTGCTACACGGCAACCCCCACCCCCCATTGGGGGTGGCAACCTTTTTTCTGCCAAGGGTCATCTGGGTATTTATAACAACATTCTCAGGCCACACACAATTATCAACTTAAGAATGAGCCTACTGTAGATTTATTGAGTTTCGAGTCCTGTCTGTTGTTGCCTTGGCAGGGCTGGATCTTACACAGCCCTGTGGGACACACATTCCCCACTCCTGCCCTAAGACATGCCTTAGCTGTGCCGAATGGCTGCCCCAGCTTTATTTTATTTATTTATTTTTTTTGTCTTTCTTTCTTTCTTGGATCATGCTTTTGGTGTTGAACCTAAAAACTTATCAACAAGCCCAGGCCACCTAGATTTCCTCCTGTGTTTTCTTCTAGAAGTTTTATTGTAGAGGAAATAAGGCCACAACCAGAGACAAAGGAAGGAAAGTGGACCCCCGAGCCCAACCTTGAAAAGCGGCTGCCCCAGTTATCTGGCGAGGCAGCTGTGCGCAGGGAGGGAAGATGGCCGCAGCTCTGCTTTCTGTAACTCCAGTCGTCAATCTGTCC